GAGCCCCGGCTCTCCCCAGCTGTCGATCTTGTCCTTCAAGTCGGCGTTCCACGGCCGTCTGTTTGGCAGTCTGTCTACCACTCGAAGCAAGCCAATTCACAAGCTGGACATCCCTGCGTTTGACTGGCCGCAAGCTCCTTTCCCGGCCCTCAAGTACCCGCTCGAGGAGCATGCTAAGGAGAACGCCGAGGAGGAGCAGCGGTGCCTCCAGGAGGTCGAGCGCTTGATTAAGGAGTTCCACAACCCGGTTGCTGCCGTCGTGGTCGAGCCGATCCAGTCCGAAGGTGGTGATAACCATGCCTCTCCGGCCTTCTTCCGCGGCCTCCGCGAGATCACCAAGCGTCACAATGTGCTCTTCATCGTAGACGAGGTGCAGACCGGTGTCGGCGCGACTGGCAAGTTCTGGGCCCACGAGTACTGGAACCTGGAAACCCCGCCTGATCTGGTGACCTTCTCCAAGAAAGCCCAGACGGCCGGCTACTACTACGGCAACCCGGCGCTGCGTCCCAACAAGCCGTACCGCCAGTTCAACACCTGGATTGGTGACCCTGCTCGTGCCCTCCTCTTCCGCGCCATCCTGGAGGAGATTGAGCGCAACAACCTGGTGGAGAACACCGCCGCCACGGGTGACTATCTCTACAAGGGCCTGGAGAGTCTCGCGAAGAAGTACCCTCACGCGATCCAGAATCTGCGTGGCAAGGGACAGGGCACGTTCATCGCGTGGGACACTCCCAACCGGGACGAGTTCCTCGTGAAAGCCAAGTCAGTCGGTGTGAACATTGGTGGAAGCGGAAACAGCGCAGTGCGGTTGCGACCAATGCTCGTCTTTCAGAAGCATCACGGTACGTCCAAACAAGAATCCCTCCAAGAAAGACCCTTGCGTTGCGAATATCCAACTAACTGATGATTTAGCCGACATCCTCCTCGACAGACTCGAGACGCTGCTCAAGCAATGATTGAGCTTTCTCACAAGTTCTATGAAGACCATCTACTTACATGATTTGTGTTTTTCTTCAAATTGTGATGTGTTTTATGTTGTGACGGCGTTACTCTCACGGGATGCTACTGACTGGTACTTTTTTTTTGCCCTCTCTGTCATACTACGATTTCGAATCGACATCTCTTTGCTGCGAGCGGCTCAGACTGTATACTTGCTTGCGTATGATATATAGCACGTACATTCCAGAAATGAATGAATTGGATTTCTCACAAGCACTTAAGTTTTTCTCTCGGATTTTTTTATTAAACTCGGGTATCTATTGTATTTCTTCTATGATTCATTTGCAGGCTCGTCTATTCTATTGAAAAAGCCGCGTTCACAAACAAACCCAGCCACTCGTTGAAGAACTGCACAGAAAAAAAATATCTTTACCAGACAAATACAGAGAAGAATGTAGACACTGCCCGTATGTAATGAAATGATAAATAGGTATCGTAACCAGATCCAGCTCAACGCCCTCGCTAGTGTTACAGCCCTGAAAGAACCCAAAAAAAAAAAAACAAAGAAGAGATGAAAATGAGATTAAATGAAGAGAAGAAGTGGAATATCCCGTGTCCGCTCTGCTATTTGAACCTTTTTCGAAGTCTTCCTCGCTAAGTGGGAAAAAGAAAGCAAGGCATTTCACTCTTCCTCGGGTTGTTCTTCGTTAAGGCTTCCGTCCCGCCTGCAGCAGAAAAAAGAATATGTCAGTTGTCCATCTCATCGATCATCGCTCCAGTAGTGAAAATGATACTTACGGGATATATTTCACGCCAGCGTCTTCGAGAGCCGCAATCGTCTCGTCCGGCAGCGTGCCGACCACCTTGATCGCATATGTCCCCGGCACATAGCCCTCCAGACGCTGCCAGCGCGCCACCCAGCTCTGGCGCTCGTCGATGATGGAGATTAGGCCCTCGAAGACCTGCGAGGTGCATTCCTGGATTGCTTCGCTGTTGCCGCGGAGGTTGAGGACGTGTTCGCAGTTGGGGCAGCCTTCGCGGTTGAATTTCTGAGAAGAAGAGACTGTCAGTATGTAGGAAAAGAAAGGAGAAGTGCATATATGGAAGGAGGAGGATACTCACGCTCTGAGGCTGCACAATGGAGCAAACCATGCAAGCGCGAAGGGTGCGTGCTTGGCCTGGAGCAACGGCAAATGAGGACATGATTGCTGCTATGAGGATAACCGGATACCGTAATAGTCTTTCGAAGGGCTGTTATGGAGGATGTGAAGGTAGAAAGAAGGGATAGAGTATTTATTATTATTCGGAGGTGGCGATCCGGAACCCCGAGGCGGTGCAGGCTCTGCAGGCTTATTATTTCGGCCAGCCGCGGTAGGTAAAAAAAGAATCGACTAAGGATGGAAGATAGTTGATATTGGCAGAAGAGGCAGCAATCTTGAATCCAGGATTGGCAGCTAGACAATAGATCAAAGATGGTGTCGATTGTTCTGGAACGGGAATCCAACAGCTGGCGGCCGGCGCGGAGTAAATTAACTTGGTTGCGGCGGCAAACATGATTTGCAGGCGGCCCTCCGCAAAAAAAGAAGACCGGAGACAGTGCCTACAACGTCCAGAGAACTCCCCCTCTTGTACTGAGTAGAACTCCCCCTCGATCTGCGATAAAAAAATTCACTTTTGTGCATCTACACTCCTCCGCACGTTTGCTGCCTCCCCGAACAGCAGGTTTTGAACCGCATTTGGCCCTATTCCAGACCTGGGAAGCGCGTCGTGTGCCCCATTGCGACAATCGTCCTAACCCCTCTTTTTCTCGTTATCTCCCCCGCCGAGTCTCCCTCATGACTTCCTCCGATGTCGAGGCTGCGAATGCCTTGAAGCTGGAAGGTAACAAGGCCTTTGCGCAGCACGACTGGCCCACCGCTGTTGAATTCTACACCAAGGCGATCGAGAAATATGACCGGGAGCCGTCCTTCTTCTGTAACAGGGCACAGGTACGTCCTTACCTGTGATAGCTGCGCAATCGCCGTTCCTGAGGCATTCCTGCCTTCAAGCCGAGGCGACTTGATTGCTACTTACTCGACCTTGCGCTGACGTCCTGTGGTGTTGTTAGGCGCATATTAAACTCGAAGCGTACGGCTATGCCATCGCAGATGCCACCAAGGCACTAGAGCTTGACCCAAACTATGTGAAAGTATGCAGCCATATATATACACCAAACATCAATAGCCGATGCTCTTCCTAGGTCTCATACCCTAACATTCGGTTTTGTGGTAGGCATACTGGAGGCGGGCTCTCGCGAACACCGCCATCTTAAATCCCAAGCAAGCTCTCAAAGACTTCAAAGCCGTTGTCCAGAGAGAGCCCAATAACCGCGATGCCAAACTGAGACTTGCAGAATGCGAGAAACTCGTCCGTCGGATCGAGTTCGAGAAAGCGATCGAGGTTGGGGAGCCACCTTCCGCGTTCGAGGACCTGAACATCGATGCGATCAAAGTCGACGATAACTACGACGGCGTCCGCCTGGGAAATGAGATGACGCAAGAGTTTATTGACGACATGATCGAGCGCTTCAAGAACGGGAAGAAGATACACCGGAAATATGCGTTCCAGATCATCAAGGCTGTGCTAGATATCGTCAAGCAGGAGCCGACAATGGTAGAGATCGGGGTGGAAGAGGGTACAAAGTTGACGATTTGCGGTGACACACATGGTGAGTATATCTTGAGTTAAGTCGAGGCCATGATTGTGCGTCTAAACCGGGATAGGTCAATTCTTCGACCTTCTGGAGATATTCAGACTCAACGGCTACCCCTCCGACACCCATGCCTACCTCTTCAACGGAGACTTTGTCGACCGCGGTTCCTGGTCGACAGAGATTGCCCTTCTGCTCTACGCCTACAAGTGGCTGCGGCCGAACCGTATCTTCCTCAACCGTGGAAACCACGAGACGGATGACATGAACAAGGTGTACGGCTTTGAAGGGGAGTGCAAGGCTAAATACAATGAGCACGTCTTCAAGGTGTTCTCCGAGTCTTTCTCGGCACTGCCTCTGGCGACGCTGGTCGGCGGTAAATACCTGGTGCTCCATGGTGGTCTCTTCTCGGATGACAACATCACTCTCGATGACATCCGGAAACTGAACAGACATAACCAGCGCCAGCCTGGTCAGTCTGGTCTGATGATGGAGATGCTCTGGACCGATCCACAGCCGACGCCGGGCCGTGGACCAAGCAAGAGAGGTGTTGGGCTGCAGTTTGGACCTGACGTGACGAAGCGCTTCTGCGAGAAGAACGGTCTCGAGGCCATTATCCGGTCGCACGAAGTCCGGATGGAGGGTTACGAAATCGAGCACGATGGACGCTGTATCACGGTCTTCTCTGCACCGAAATACTGCGACACTACCGAGAACAAGGGAGCCTATATCAACGTTGGACCGGAGCTCAAGCTGGAGTATCATACTTTCGAGGCTGTGCCACATCCTGACGTCAAGCCAATGGTAACTCAACTCGATACCTCTTAGGAAATTAGACCACGCTGACCCAGATTCAACAGGCATATGCTACAAACTCGCTCATATCGATGATGATGTAGACGATCCAACGCGATGCACAAAGCAGGCTGGCAATTCAGAGCTTGGACGGGTATAGAGAGATATATGCCGATAAACTGGACTCGGAAGGAGTCATTTTCTTTTGCCTTAAAAGACGGCCATGGTTGTTTACGTCTGGTACTAAACACACGCTGCCTGTATCAGTCTGGTGCGTTTCTTGCATACCGACAGGTTGAATGAATGCGATCAAGTGAACTGGATTTTTGCTAGTATTTATTTATTTATAAATGCTAAGCGATGTCACGGGTGGATAGAAGCTGCATATCATGAAAATCAGAAAAATTCACTGGCGACCACGTACAGTACATAGCAGTCATGTGGAGAGACGTTAATATACACTGCCTTGTCACTTACTCCGTACTGAATTGTTATTTCTTTTAATTTCTCCCTCCGCGGACCCGCTATATTAGGCTGTCCGATCATCGGTGCGCAACCCGAGCCCTTGGAACGCCGCAGAGAGCCCCGCGGGGCTGACCCCTCCGTCAGGACTTCTCTCCTCCGAGTCGTCTCCGTAGACAACATCACTCCTCCCCTGTCGCCAATTGTGAATTTCAATACTCAGGCACAGAAGAAAGATGGAGTTCGATCCCAAGACGCGTAAGTCAGCTCTTATCTTGCATCTGCCTATGAAATTTTGGAGGAGCGAAGTGGTCTGAACAAAAGAAACATGCATACAAGTATAGCTAACTGACCCTGCCAACCTTGCACACAACAGCGCAATACCTCACGTCGGACGAGAAGAGCTTTGCCTCTGTGTCAGTCTGTGATCGGTGGCCGGTGATTATTGTGAGTCTGACTGACCCAATCAATCTTCTATCTTCCTGCAGAAGAAGCTATGGTGCAGGGGGTTCTCTGTAGTGTAGTTACTAACCCTTGTGTGTCGTGTTTTTCCAGACTGGTGCCATTGATGACCTGCACCGGACAGTCGGCGATGTTACGGATGCGGAGAAGCGCAATGAGGGTAAAGAGATCATTGAGCAGCTGGCAAAGCTGAAATATGAAGTGCAGCACAACCGACAGCTGACGTGAGTTCAGAACTCTCTCTCCTTTCAGTTTCAGAGAAAAAGGGTGAATTTCAAGCTTGCTAAATTCTGTTCTTGTGTAATAATAGTCCCCTTCCTGACGACGGCGAGCCCGATATCGAGGGATACAACAAGGAACTGGAGCAGAGGGGATTTCCCACTTGGCATAACGTGCCGTGGCTCTACTCGGAGTGCTATCTCTGTATGTATGGCCAAGGAGAAATGAGGGGGTCTAGAGGGACTGACTTGTAGCGCTACAGACAGACGGATTAACACCCTCTTCACGCGTTCCAAGCATTGGAAGGATTATGACGTCTTTGCGCGTCAGAAGATGTCCACCTTCAAGTCTTCTCGCCCAGCGGTGCTCGAACTAGCGGGAAGATACAAGGCGCTCGCCCTGGAGGCGGAGAAGGGCCCTGCGGGGAAGACTCCGGAGGAGATCGAGCAGGCCGAGAGGATACTGTTTGCAGAGATGTGCGAGATCTGCCTTTGGGGCAATGCCACTGACTTGTCGCTCCTCACCAATCTCACCTACGAGGACATCCAGAAGCTGCAGGGTTCGGAGGCGCGCAAGGCCGCGGAGAAGAACATCATTGTCAACGACACGGACGCCGCCTACGACGTTCTGCGTGATGCGCGCAAGACCAGGAAGGACAGCGAGCGGCGCGTGGACATCGTGCTGGACAACGCCGGCTTCGAGCTCTTCGTCGATCTCATCCTTGCGGGTTACCTTCTGTCGGCGAATCTCGCTACGACCGTGGTCCTGCGTCCCAAGTCCATCCCGTGGTTCGTCTCGGACGTCATCCCCAAGGACTTCACGGATCTCCTCGGCGCGCTGGCCGACCCGCAAGCTTTCTACACCGCGCCCGACGACACGGGCAGGACATACGAGCCGCTCACCGACCGGGAACTCAGCGAGATCAAGTTCCTGCTCGACCAGTGGAGCAAATTCCACGAGGAGGGGAAGCTGATCCTGCGTCCTCACCGGTTCTGGACCACGCCGGGCTGCTACTGGCGGCTGCCACACGTCGCGCCCGACCTCTTCGAGGATCTGAAGGAGAGCGAGCTCGTCCTGTTCAAGGGCGATCTGAACTACCGAAAGCTGACCAACGATGTAAGCCCACCCCTTCCCTCTGTTTTCCACCCAAAATAAAAAAAAAGAAAAGAAAAGAAAAGAAACAGTATACTGATGATAACTGCCTACAGGCCGCCTGGGACCCAACCACCCCCTTCACGACAGCCATCGGCCCACTCGGCCTCAAATCCGGCATCCGCATCCTCTCCTTCCGGACCTGCAAAGCAGACGTCGTCGTCGGCCTGCCTCCAGGCGAAGACGAGCGTCTGCGCCAGACGCCCGGCGGAGGCGGCGATTCCGGCGCGCGCAAGTGGGCCTGGAGTGGGAAGTGGGCTGTTGTGTCTTTCTGTGATGGGAAGGCATGAATTAATGAATAATAAGATCATGAGCTTGATAATACCTTTGTTTTTTTGTTTTTGTTTTGCCCCCTGTACTGGACATAATATCGATTCTATGCATGCACGCACAGTACATACGTACAGTACATATACAAACATTCCTGCTAGATATTAGATAGTTAGATATTAGATAGGCGGGAGATGCTATATTGCATTGTTATCATTCTTTTATCAGCTTTAATGAATAATACTTTGTGGCATAGCTATTAGACTAGACTGGAGTTATTTATTTGTACGGGACAGATCAATCAGATCAATCATAATTTTTTTTTGAGAAAAGAAAGTCCATTAAAAAAAAATTATCACAGTCAAGTTAATGCTAGCCTCTATCACACACACTCTCGAGAACGACTCTCACTGAATGCCAGTGCCATGTAATTAATTAAATATTAATGCCGACGAAGTAAATAAATAATACCCTTCCATAAGTGAATGCCAGCCGAATATAATACCTAATGCAATAATAATAACCCCGAAATGGATGATGGCTCAACTGAACACCAATAATGCATATAACCCGTCCATAGTGCGCCAGGTTGTCACATCAGTCTGACAAATGATGCCTGCAGTGGGGAAAAAAAGGGGGAAAAAAAAGACAGTAGTAACTTCTCAGATCAGAACCTCTCGGATATTTTCCTTGCCATCCCCCTTTTTTCTGCTTTCTTCCTTTTGCTTCAGCCGTGCTTTTGCAGCTGCTATCCTCTCCGGAGACAGAGCATCTCGTTTCACGCTGGCTAAGCTCACTCTGCTATGCAACATGGACTCTGACCCCACGTGAGCTGCAGAGCCAGCGTGCTGCGCAGCAAAAGTATCAGAAGCATCCTTCTTGGGAGGGTGGCGCTGTCGCGTCCTTGGATGGTCCTCTCGGTCTGCTGCTTGTGTAGGGAAAGTAATCATAGTAGGACGAGGAGATTCGAACGAACGCCTCGGATGTTTCAAGTGCCGGTTCTCAGGCAATGGAGGGGGCGAGGATGGTGGAACTGCCAAGTCATCATTGCCGGGAAGGGTGTTGGAGCGACGGTGAGAAAGTCTCGGGGGAGAGTCATCCAACCAAATCAGCGGTTCTGCGTCTTGCTCCGAAATTTTCACGCCTCCGCCAGGTCTCCTTGAATCGTGAAAGTCATGCTGCGAGTTATATTTGGCCTGTTTCCGCAGCTGACCGTGTTGAGCTCCAAAGTCCTGGACCTGTACCCCTGTGTAGTCCTTCCGAGGGTTGTACGCGCTCTCTTCAGAGTGTCCTACCCTCGCCAAACGTTCCAGGGTAGTGATTTTACTCTTCAAGGCCTCGATTTGTTCCTGATATCCTTTCCGCTCCTCCTGGAAGGATCTCTTCAGAGCATCCTCTGCTTCCCGACGCTCTTTCGCAGCGGCCTTGAGTTTCTCCCTGTACTCTTGGATCCTACTCTCCAACTTGGCTTCTCTCTGTTTCAATTTCGCTTCCTTTTCCTTTCGTCGGCCCTCATACTTGTTCATCTCCTGTTTGACGCGTGCCAGAGTCTCTTTAAGAGAGTAATTCTCCTTTTCGAGTTCCGACGCTTTTCTTTCTGAGCTCTGCACTAGATCCTGGAGCTTCTTTAAGTCACCCTGCTGTCGTTTCATTTCTTCGATTGTCGCATTTGCCTGTTCCAGCGCCTGCTGCGTCTTTCGAAGTTCTTCATCAACTCCCTTAGACGGATTCTCCGCTTCTTGCTGCTCATTGGGGCTGCCAACAACGCCGTGCTGTTCGAGAGCTTTGCGCAGTGTGTCAACCTTGTGTTTGTACTGCACCGCCAAGGCTGTTTGCTTTGCGAGTTCCTGAAGAAGCTTCTCCTTGTCGGCATCTCCGGCTCCTCCAACCATGTTCGAGGCAAGGCCGGTGACTTGGCGCTCCATTTCAGCAACCTTTGCCTCCTCTGCTCGGAGTTTTTCCGCCAAGCGTAGTGCTTCTGCATCCTTTTTACGGGCGTAAGACTTTGCAGCAGAGCGATATTGAATAAGCTTCCTCATTTCCAGATTTGTCTTCTTCCGGTAGTTTTCAAATTCGGCTTTCCAGTATTGGCCGGATTGAGAACGTGGTTCGTCGAGGTTGATGGTTTCGTCATTGTTTTCCTCCGCTTTGGGGAGCACAGGAGCCTCCTGCGTCTCCTTGGCAGAGCCCTTATCAATTTTCGCCGGCTCGATATGTCTTGGGAGTTCCTCCTTCGTAGACTCTTCGCGTGCATCCAGTAAGGTCTGGGTGAGCTTGCTTCTAGGCTTGCTCTTACCCTCCGATTGGCCCGACATCCATTGACACGAGACGTTTCCAGAAGGAGGATGGAAGGTCGTATTCGCTGTTTTGGATAAAACCAAATCCTTCTCCTGGTCATTATGGAGAACAACATCACCAAACGAGACGGTTTTGCGGCGATTGGAGGTGGTTCCCGGGGTGACTAGGATACTCTTCGTCGGCGATGCCGCTGACTGCGGAGCTGGCTGTTGATCTTCTTTTTTGTCTTCCTTCGCGTCGGCTTGTCGTTCTTCAGCTGCTTGTGGAACTGTACCCTCCCTCTGCTGAAGACGATCAGCATGGCGCTTCGGACGAACAGAGGGTTCTCCGTTCTCATCCTCTTCAGCTCCTGGTGTCCCAAAAAGGGCGCTTTTGAAGGCGCGTATTGCGAAGACGGGCGCGGGGGTCTCTGGCGGCTCTGGTAGTTTTGAGTCGTCTATCATGGTCAGTCTCTCATGCTCTTGCAATTGAAATGGAGATCGGGTCGCAATATAGAGCTCACCTGCGGAGCCTGCTGCCTCGCCATTCTGCCCAGTGATCCACCCCAACATCTTGTCTCAGCAATATTTCCTTTCAGATTATCAAGACTCTCGGAAGACACATGGCAGTGGGTATGTCACGGGGTTGGCCAGCAGGCGACTTGACGCTGACGGTGTTGACGTGGAGCGCTCTGCTTTGTTTACGACGCAGCGTAGCTCTGCACGGGCCACGCTTTCCGTGCTGCAGCAGGCTAGCGCGGCCAAGGCACGCTGGCTGCCAACTGGCCTATCGATAAAGTTTGATACCGCTACTTTGGCTGCGGAGTCTGAGCGTTAATTAAAAGAGCCCGCTCCCGCCACAATTATTCTCTCCAGACATCGAACTCACCCACTGCCGCCTCGTCCTCTTTCTCTCTGCAAAGGATGTCGACTTTCGAGAAATAGAGGGCTGCAGCTTCGGCTGCATCTTTGTCACAGCTACGTGACAAGGGCCAACGGTCTCCCAGACGCCTATCTTTCCCAGCCCCAAGCCCCGCTATGCCTCACAAGCAGAAGAAGAAGCTGAATAATGCCCCTCAAAATGGCTCTCCAAAGGCGGAGAAACAGCCGAATCTTTTGGAGTGTTCTCCAAAAGGTCCCTCCCTAGGTGCTGTTACCAATTACCGTGAAATCCATCAGAATGAAGCTGAGGCCCTTCGGTCTATCTACGGCGAAGACTTCGAAGATGTAGAGCACAGGCGGGCAGCCTGGCAGGTAAGTTCATTGGCGCGACTTTGGGTAGTTTTCGCGACAGTGTTTCTCATTGTACTTCTCAGCAATTTTCGGAAGTCTGCTTCAAGCTTCATCTCAGAGCATCTTCGAACGCCGATGTCCGCGTTACGTTGCTGGTCGAGCTCCCGGCCACATACCCGAAGACTGTTCCCAATCTCGTGGTGCAGGGTCTCGATGACCTTCGTCGCGGCGCAAAGTCCAGGATTGAAGATGTCGTCAAGAACAAACCGAAAACGTTACTTGGCTCTGAAATGATATATGAGATCGCTCTCAGCATTCAGGATATCCTCGAAGATGTCGCGTTGGCTCAGGCTGAGGATAAGGATATTCCAAGTTTGGAACAAGAACGCATCGAACAGGAAGCTGCCGCAATCCAACAGGCTGAACAACAGAGGCAGGAAGAGCTCCGGAAGCAAGAAGCAGCGACAGCTGAAGAGGAACGGGCGTTACAACAGCTTCTCGAAGATAAGATCAAAGAACGCGAACGCACAAAGGCTCGGAATTCAAGGCGCAAGAGCCGCTCAGCGGCTTTAGATGCCAATGCCATCTCCGAGCCTGCAGAGGATAGCCCGGGCACCATCTTGTTCGATCCGCCCCTGATTGTGAATGATAGCGACGAGCGACCTCTAGTCTTCCGTGCTGTTTTTGGGAAAACTCTTCTTCGGAGCATTCATAACAAGCAGACTTTCACGGTCAGACCAATCGTCTCTGAGAACCGAACCCATGCTCCTCTTCTCGTGCTGAAGGAGATTTCCCTTGAGGAGAAGGGACCAGAAACCCCTGCTTTCCGACAGCAGATCCGGACAAGCGAGGACAAGCTTGAAGCACTAAGAAAGCTACGGCACCCCAACTTGGTTGATTTTATCGGGTTCAAGATCCATCACCCTCTGGATGCACACGACTCTTCCGACAACACTTGGCGGATTTACGTGCTCTTTGAATATGCGAATAAAGGTTCTCTGTCAGAACTTCTAGATATTGTAGGCAGCGTCGCTGTTGAAACAACTCGTTCTTGGATGATCCAGCTCTTGGAGGCTCTCGAATTCTATCACCGCAACGGCGTTGTCCATGGGAACATCCATTGTGGTCGTGTCTTGCTCTTCCGTAATGCAACGGGAAGCACCACTGTCAAGCTTGAGGGCAGTATTGAAGAAGCTCTTCCTGGTCCTAGTGGCCGGAAGAGGACCCTGGCGACCTCCAAATCACCATTTTGGCTTCCGCCAGAGCTCACCCAGGACGATGCACAACCAACCACCAAGACAGATATCTGGGACCTTGGTATCGTGTTTCTTCAAATGGGTTTTGGCAAAGATGTCTTACAGCGATTCACATCAGCAAACGCGGTGATGAGTAGTCTAGATCTGTCGGCTCCCTTGCAGGACCTCTTGCGAGAAATCTTCAGACCGGACCCAAAGAAGCGCCCAACGGCCTTCCAACTTCAGCCTTCTGAATTTTTCCGTGTTGACGTTCCATTAATCGAGCATACCGCAGCGTCCCATTCGACGTCTCTTTCAAGACGTCCAAGGCTTGATTCTCAAGTCGGAATGCCAGCTTTCTCTCGCTACGGTCAGGACTTTGACGAGGCTGGTCTTTTGGGTCGAGGCGGCTTTGGTCAGGTGGTGAAAGCGCGAAATAAGCTAGATGGACGTTTCTACGCCATCAAGAAGATCTCGCAAAATTCCGCAGGGGCGTTGAAGGATACTCTCTCTGAAATCATGCTGCTGTCCAGACTGAATCACCCATATGTAGTCCGGTACTATACTGCATGGCTCGAGGAGGATTTCGACACTATAGATGAAGAAGCCGTGTCTTCCACCGAAGGCGATTCGCAGGAGGGTGATATGTACGCACGCAGCACGACTGGTCTGGATTTCATCAGCTCCAGCGGTTATCCCAAGGTCGAGTTTGGCTACGATACCGATGAAGAGAATGGTGAAAGCTCTTCAGATCAAGACATTATCGAGTCGCAATTGGGGACAGCTTCGGACACCAATACTGATCGTGAATTGAGTCGTATGCGGTCCGGATCCCAGAGTCGATCTGTCACGACGACGCTCTATATCCAGATGGAATATTGCGAGAAGCATGTAAGTGTAGCACTACCTCTATTAAAATAGCCTCTTCTAATGCGTTTCAAGACTCTCCGCGACCTGATAAACGATGGTCTCTATGATGACATCGACCGCTCCTGGCGCTTGTTTCGTCAGATCTTGGACGGTCTAAGCCACATTCATAGCCATGGCATCATTCATAGAGATTTAAAACCGGATAACATCTTTATTGATGTAGCAAATAATCCACGCATCGGCGATTTTGGTCTAGCTACTAGTGGACAGTTCTCAACAGCTGTGCGGTCTTCTGCATCAGCTGAAGTTGCCGCGAGTTTCACACGCAGTGTTGGCACAACTTATTATGTCGCGCCGGAAATTAAGTCGACATCCACTGGACAATACAACGAAAAAGTTGATGTAAGTCTAGATAGCAGCAATCGCTCTCTCCTATTCGTTTTGAATTATACTGATTTCGATAGATGTACTCGTTGGGAGTGATCTTCTTTGAGATGTGCCATCCACTTAGAACGAGTATGGAGCGTGATCGGACTTTGCAGGCGATACGTGAGAAAGTTCACACACTCCCCGCAACTTTTCAACAAGCGGAGAAAGCCGTACAGGGCGAGATCATTGAATCTCTTTTGAGTCATCGACCGAGTGAACGGCCTTCTGCGGCCGAACTTCTTCAGAGCGGCAAAATTCCCCTGCAGGTTGAAGAGGAGACATTCAGACGGGCGATCATTGGTTTGCTCTCAGATCCGGATTCACCAGACTACAAAAAAATCTTATCAGCAATATTCTCACAGTCTCCAAGAAAATTTGAGGACATTGCGTGGGATATGGATTCACGCGGAACGCCAGCAGCAAATGAGATGCTAGTCCAGGGATTCGTGAAAGAGAAATTGATTTCAATATTTCGCAGGCATGGTGCTGTGGAAACAACAAGGCAGGCTCTCTTCCCGCGGTCAGGCCACTACAACAATGGGGTTGTACGGTTGCTGGATTCATCTGGTAACTTGGTCCAGCTGCCTTTCGACCTTACCTTACCAAACGCTCGTGCCATTCCCAGACAGCACCCCTCGTTGGAGAAGACCTTTTCATTCGGTCGAGTTTACCGAGAATCCCCTTTTGGCGGAGAACCAAGGTCTCACAAGGAAGCCGACTTTGATATCGTATCTTACAACACGTTAGATCTTGCCTTGAAAGAGGCCGAGGTCATCAAAGTTCTCGACGAGATAATCGAAGAGTTTCCGGTCCTTAGATCGGTTCCGATGTGCTTTCACATAAACCATTCAGACCTCCTCCAGACTATCATGGAGTTCTGTCGGATTACACCTGCACAGATTCCTATCGTGAAGGAAATCCTCAGCAGGCTGAATGTTGGAAAATGGACAATGCAGAAAATCAGAAGCGAACTTCGGTCCCCCACCATTGGTGTCGCATCGACATCTTTGGATGATCTTGCAAGATTTGACTTCAGAGGTGAGTGTTCTCACGTCATAAGGGTGAGAAAAAAAATTACTAAAGATCATATAGATACCCCTGAAAAGGCTCTTCAAAGGCTACAAACGATAATGGAAGGCACAGAGTACGCAGAGAGGCTGGCACCCATCTTTGCTCGCTTAAACGCCTTGGTATCCTACATCCACGGCTTTGAAGTTAAACGCAAGGTTTACGTGAACCCTCTTAGCAGTCTTAACGACAAGTTCTTCAGAGGCAGTGTTCTCTTCCAGTGTGTCTTTGACAGCAAACGACGGGATGTGTTCGCTGCCGGAGGAAGGTATGACCGACTGATTCAGGAATTCAGTCCGAAGGTCTTGTCAAGTCGGTCTCAGTCGCATGCCGTGGGCTTCAACCTCAGCTGGGACAGACTAAGCTCCTCGATGTTTGAGTATATCAAAAGTTTGAATAAGACTTTTCTCAAGCACACGGACGGTGATGTAGGCGGCGGTGGTTTTTGGCGAACTCGAAGGGTGAGATGATTTCCTTTCCCCCCTCCCTCCCTCCCCCCCATTCTTCCAATAACTGACTTTGGTAGTGCGATGTCCTTGTCGCCAGTTTCGATCCGACCGTCCTTCGCACCCTGGGTATAAGGATCCTCCAAGAATTGTGGGCGAATGACATAAGCGCTGAACTGGCTGTTGACGCCTCATCATTCGAAGAACTTGTCACACACTACAAAGATGACAATCATAATTGGGTTGTCATTGTCAAACAAGATAGCAAGGAGCGCGGACTGAAAATCAAGAGTCTTACTCGGAAAGAGGAGTTCGACGTAAGGACTTCTGAGTTGGTGGGCTGGCTCCGCTCTGAGATTCGTGCTCGTAACCAGCGAGATCTCAAATACACCAGTCAGCAAGATGCTGGTGGCTCTGTAAATGATCGCACCAACGATGTCAGGATCTTAGTGTCGCAGCACAGGAACAAGAAGACCAACAGAAGGAACATCATCGAATCAGGTAAGCGTGTTTCTGTTTTTAATTATGAACTGAGGTCTAATATCGGCAGCTCTTCTCCGCACTCGGGAACTCGTGGATAAAGCTCTCAACGGCCCCATTGCAGCAATTGACACGAGAGATGATGTTCTTGACGCCATCCGAGACACGCGGTTATGCGACCCTGACAGCTGGCGCACGGTCATTCAGAATGCACCACTCACGGAGCGAAAATACCTTGGCCAGGTGCATGAGTTGCTCCAAGACCTTGCCAATGAATATCGCGAACCCAGAGATGGCAAGGAAGGCTACTCCAACGCCTTCATTTACAATTTCCGCACGGGATCCTGCATCTACTACGACCTCGGACGGGCACACTAAGAATGAAAGTTACGAATGATGAACCAATTCATGTTACGATTCAATAATACCCTTGTTTGTTAAGATCTTAGCTACCTGCATATTCTTCGTGTACTAGCCCATGAACAAATGCAGTTATGAAAGAGGACATGAAGACACGTTCCTTTCAGGTATCTATACTACTGTACACACATTAATAGACCCAAACCCAAAAACGGAAAGACCACATCAAAATCAATCGCTTTCATCGTCACTGCCGTAGGCCACCAAGGGACCGTCCGATTTCTGCGCAGCAGGTTGTATCGGGACGTTGGCCTTGGCAATTCCTTGCAACGCTGCTATGGTAGAGCTAGAGAAGATTCCACCTTGGTCAGCCTTCTGTTCAGGCTGTGCGGGAGGTACAGAAGAAGCTTGTGTGTAAGAGTCCTCGATGAGAAGTCGCTGTTCTGGTGCTTCCAGTTCCTTCTGTTGTTTTGCAGCCTTCTCCGCGTCTTCGAGTTCCTTGGTCCTCGCATACCACACCTCATCGGTCGGTTCATAACCTTCCAATCCAAAGCTGCCCTCTATCTTCTTTCTCTTCTTAGCCTCCGGGTCCCGACCTTCGATCTCTGCCACGAATTCTGCTGGCAGTGCTCTCCGCACCGCTTCCGCCGCTTGCTCTTCGAGTCGCTGGGCCTCGCGTTTCTGAGCCAGCGGATTCGGATCCACAGTCGCCCAGCGGACGTTGAGGATCTCGTTGTGGTCAAGGCTCTGATGCGCCATGGCCTCTTTGGCAAACTGCGAGTTAGCCTCGTTTGTGTAGGTCACGAAGGCAACGCCGCGCGACGTAAGCACCCGGATGCGTTCTATCTGGCCCCATTCGGAGAAGTGACGGGCGACGACTTCCTCGATGTCATCGGTGACGTGGATTCGACCGACATACAGCGTCCGATTCTGTCGCATGAACGATCCCACACCGCCCATGTCGTCACGGTAGTCGCTGAACTTGTCGCGACCGAAACAGTCGACATTGGGGTTGAAGATGTCGTGTATCGTCGGCAATCGGTGCAGGTAGTCACATTCATGTCCCTTGGGACACATCCCCCGCGCGAAGAAGAGACAGAAATACGATCCCGGCACTTTGTCTGCACGCGTGTAGCCGCTATCCCTCGCGATATTACACCGGTACGGTGCATGGTGCTTGGACAGGTACTTGTCTTCGCGATCGCCACCCGCCCACTTGTTGTACCAGATGTTGAACACCGTGCCTGTCTGCGGCGGCGGCTCAGACTTGATCGCTGCCGGGTCGACCTGCGGTCGTGCTGGCCGTTTTTTCCGCCGGATAATCTTCTTCGTCTTCTTCAGGGAACCATCGGGTTGTTGTTCGGTCGACGCGAGGGTGCTGTCCGCTGAAGGATGGGTGAGAGCGGTCTCCGTTTGCGGATCTGTAGATTCTTCAACGTGCTCAGTCACTGCCTCTGGATGACCTGTAGATGAAGGCGCCTGAGCCGGCTCAGCAACTTCTGTCTCGGCCATGGTTGCTGTTGGATTGGCTGCGTATATTGAAAGGTGTTAGATCGTCCGGTGCCTTCTGGGCTAGAAATTCGATATCCGGGGCTCTGCTTACGTAATACAGATTTGCCGCTTGGCACGATTTTGTCTACGAGTTTGATACGCCTCGATCAAACGAAAAACAACAATATACCCTGCAAAAGTATCATTTTCTCTCTGTTGTCCGTTTAGTATCTGTTAAGACCTTTGTGGACTATCTTTTCTTTAAGTCATTTGTTCACTTTCCCTGAGGCAGATTGTTGAAACAAGACTGTGGGGTGGGGGATCCTCGTCAGAATCGTCAAAATGGTGAACATCACGGAAAAGATCAAAGAGTGAGTGAGGTTTCCGTGTTTGCTGATCATGTTGGCACCTTCTGACGCGTTATTCTTCTCTACAGGATCGAAGATGAGATGCGCAGGACGCAGAGTAAGTGTTTCCTTTTTTTTTCCAACTCTAATCAACCCCGCAGCTGCTAACATTTCAGAACAGAGAATAAGGCCACAGGTGGGGAAGACCATATTCCAGTATTAACATCCAGCAGTTTTACTTACTCTATGCAGAGTATCATCTGGGTCTTCTCAAAGGGTGAGACATGATCTGAAAGTCCTAATCCAAAGCTCCGTTGCTAAAAGCCTTTTTATAGGAAACTTGCCAGATTAAGAGCACAGCTCCTTGAACCTACCCCTGGCTCAAGCTCGGGCGGCGGGACAGGATTTGATGTCTCAAAGAGTGGTGATGCACGTGTCGCTCTGGTCGGCTTTCCGTCAGTCGGAAAGTCGACGTTCTTGTCCAAGATCACCAAGACGAAGAGCGAGGTTGCCTCGTACGCTTTCACCACGCTGACGGCCATTCCGGGCGTCCTGGAGTATGGCGGTGCAGAGATCCAGATCCTTGATCTCCCCGGTATTATCGAGGGGGCTGCCGAAGGCAAGGGTCGAGGGAGACAAGTCATCTCAGCTGCCAAGGTAAGCATCAGTCTTCGATGGCATCGTGATGGCGTCATCTAACTGCGATCAACAGACGAGTGATTTGATCCTGATGGTGCTTGATGCCACAAAACGTGCTGAACAGCGCGCTCTCCTCGAGGCAGAGTTAGAAGCTGTGGGAATCCGATTGAACAAAGAGCCTCCGTAAGTTGATCTCGATCTCCTTCGGCGGGTTCGCCAGATCAGTGGCTGACAGCGCACAGCAATATTTATTTGAAACCGAAGAAGGCTGGCGGAATGAAGATTACCTTCCAGACGCCGCCTAAGAATCTGGACGAAAAGATGATCTCGAACATTTTGCGAGACTACAAGCTCCTCAACTGCGAGGTTCTAGTGCGAGATGAAAATGGTGAGCGAGGGTCATCCGGTCCGTAGTAACAAATCTGCTTTGCTAATGCAGTTTCGAACAGCAACGGTTGATGATTTGATTGACGTGATTATGAAAGATCACAGAAAATATATCAGATGGTGAGTAGCGCCCAAGAATGACGATGAGAAATAATTGCCACTAAAACGTGTGCAGCCTTTACGTGTACAACAAGATAGACAGCGTGAGCGTGGACTTCCTCGACAAGCTTGCGCGGGAGCCGCATACAGCCGTGATGAGCTGCGAGCTGGACCTGGGCGTGCAGGACGTGGTAGACAGAATCTGGCAGGAGCTGCGCCTGATTCGGATATACACGAAACGGTACGCCCTCTAATACCACATTGTCTATCGACTCTACTGACGCTTCAATACAGAAAGGGTGAAGATCCCGATTTCAACGAGGCGCTGATCGTACGAAGTAACTCGACGATCGAGGATGTCTGCGATCAGATCCACCGGTCGTTGAAGGAGACGTTCAAGTATGCCTTGGTGTGGGGGGCCAGTGCCAGACATGTCCCGCAGCGGGTTGGACTTAATCATGTTGTAGCAGACGAGGACGTGGTGTCCATTGTTGCGAAATAACTATAATAAGGCCTTACGGGAGTGCTCGGGCCTTTTTTTTTGTGTGTGTGTGTCCTATCTTCGTATCTTCTGCCGGTAGAGAAGTAAAGAAGAAGCATACCTAAACTAACTGCTCTGAATCTGTGTGATGAACTTCCGGAAAGAATGGACCTCGACCTCGTCAGACAGTGGGTTTTCTGGTCTACGTATAAATAAAATATAAATAAAATAAAGTCATGACCAAGTCTGATATTGAATCCAATCAAGGTTATTATTATACGACAGTAAGGAAGAAGGCATCATGGAAACACGTAAGTCTTTAAAAAAATTGTTTTTCTTTCATACCATCCTATTAATTCACGTCGAGATATCTCTGACAGCCGGTCAGTACCTATAGGAACTCATGAGCACGACTGATACGGCACATCTTAGATGACTACCGCAGCAGTACACCAATTCCAATACTTCGACGAAGACACAAAATAGGTAATAGCTATCTATGAGGCTTAGCTCAACATCATTTTCACATGCTTGCAATCAAGCAATCAATCTGCACAGTAAGTAGTACAGCAGTACACATTTGTACACATTTCGATCTCTACCAATGAGATCCTTATCACTTATCAGATAGATATTATTCACTCAGAAATCAGAACAAGCAAGCAGTGTAACCGTGCAACAAGACTATGGAGATATGAATAGTGGCAGATAAGGCCGCTGTTGCACAGAGTCGAGTCCCTGCATTTTTTTTGTCTTATCGCAGTTTGTCCTAAAATGGTAATGAGGCAGATCGTCTTATCTCCTAGTACGTACTGTTCTTCTATTTTTCTCATCACCGTTACACTCTGCAGAGCGAGGATATATTGACAACTTCTGTTGAATGTGATTTACATTTAGACCCCAGTTATGGCTGGGAAAATGCGACCGATTGTTCATAGAGTAAATATTTTGAATTTGTGAACGGAATTTCTGCTATATAACATCATAATGACCCAGCAAGAAAACAAATCCATGACTCCAGACGCAGACCTAAACTCGAACCCATTCATGCAGTTGCCGTAGCAGCACCGGCACCGGCACTGGCACCGGAACCCGCATTGCTCATTCCATTCGTAGGACTCACTCCAACCCGTTCCTTCGGGAGGAGGTCGACCAGCAGCGGGCTGGGGCGGCTGTCCCGCATCGGGTGGAAGATGGCCTGGTTGTTCTTGTACTTGATCACGCTGTCGATGTAGATATCGAACAGGTAGGATGAGTCCAGGGGGCCTCCCTTCGCCTCCGGGTGGAATTGCGTGCTGAAGATCGGGCGAGACTTGTGGATCATGCCTGTAAAGTTGCTTTTAGTACGCAATCCAACTATGAACGATGCGATGAAAGGTGAATTAAGATTATCGAAACTCACCTTCATTGCTGGAGTCATTCAAGTTTATAAAGTACGGCTTCCAGTCGCTTGGAAGCGTCGACGCATCAACCGCATAGCCATGGTTCTGGCTGGTGATGTGACAACGGCCGGTAGTCAGGTCCAGGGCCGGAATGTTGTGCGCCCGGTTTCCGTACTTAAGCTTGACGGTCCGGGCGCCCGCCGCTAGAGCGAGCAGCTGGTGTCCCAGACAGATACCCATGATCGGCACCTGAGAGGTCTCCATCAACTTTCGCAGATGGTAGACGGTCTCCTGGCAGTGAGTAGGATCACCGGGGCCGTTGGAGATGAAGACACCATCGAAGTGGTGGGCAACCTTGTGGATCGGGTAGTCGAACGGGAACACCGTGATGCTAGCCCCACGGCCAACCAGACTGCGGAGGATGTTCTCCTTGACACCGCAGTCGATGAGGGCGACGTGACACTCAGGGTTTGCGGCACTGACATGGAAGGGCGCCTTGGTGCTGACCTGGCGGACCAGGTGGATCTGTTCCGGGTCGATGTAGGCCTCATCCTCGTCCGCATCATACTCCTCACCTACGGTGATACGAGCCAGGGAGGAACCCTGCTCACGGAGGTAGGTCACAATGGCACGGGTGTCGACGCCTGAGATCGCGGGAACGCCCTCGCGGGCACACCACTCTCCCAGACTCTCGACGGCCGTCCAGTGACTGTACTGCTCTGCAACATCGGCAACGACGACACCGGCAGCCTGGAGATTGGGGGACTCAAAGTATTTGAGCAGTCCGTTGGCGTCCCTCTCCGCAGACGGAACGCCGTAGTTGCCAATCAGCGGCTGGGTGAAGACCAGAATCTGGCCGCGGTAGGAAGGGTCGGTCAGGGACTCTGGGTATCCGACCAGAGAAGTGGTGAAAACGGCTTCACCAGAGATGTTTTTGTTGGCACCAAAGGACTTGCCATGGAAGACAGGACCATCTCGGATCGTGAAAGTCGCCGGTTCGAATCTCTTCGCACCAGCCCGGTCGACAGTGGCCAAGACACGAGCCTTGGGCAGGTTAGCCTTCACAGAGGCCAGCGGGGTGGCCCTGACAGGAGTCGTCCTGACAAGTCGAGCAAACATGATGACTGTGTTTGGGGAAGAGAGAATGACAGTTCCGCTTGTGGTCGAGGACGACTCAGTTAATGGAGGCTTTCCAGAGGTGATCTACCAGGATGTTAGTCCTGCACAGCAGAAGGGGCCGAGGAACAGTTCTTCTGTCCAGCCATACCCGAGATGTAGTCCTGCAAGAAGACAAGTCAGCATTTTTGCTCTGGCTTGAGTGTGCGAGAGTGGGCACGAGACGCGAGGCGATTTTCGGCTTACCTGGGAGGTGAAGATCGAGACGATAACACGCATAAGCGCGGTTGCTAGTGCCTCTCGGGGCTCAATTGCAAGCAGAAGAAGCGGAGGGTCAAAGATACGCGGCTGGTGTAACTGAGAGACAACGAGTCGATAAGATGGAGACTGGGCGAGCGAAGGAAGAAGAGGAGAGGGAGCGGTGGAAAAGGGTTTTTCTGCGCGCTCCGGCAGCGGACCGCCGCTCACCGCTCTGGCGTCGCCCGGCGGTGTTGGGCCAATCACGTCCTCCGGATTTCCGTGCAGCGGGCCCGATCTCTCCGATTTCTGCTGGACGAACGACGCGTTATCAGGAACAGACAAATCTCATTAGCCCGCTAGTCAGATCCGATCAGCTTTTGCTCGTTGCTCCGATACGCCGAAGAGCTGGCTGTTCTTCTGACTCATAGTGAGTTGCTGTAAAAAGACCTTTGCCTCGAAAGCACCATTCTCGCTAATTTTCATTCTTTGATAGGTAGCCTAATTAGCCTCTGTTGCCGCCACCTTAATCGAACTGCTACCAAAGAGCCTCATCAGTCATCCCTGGTTAGACATCTTTTGACAACGGAGTAGTCTCTCTATTGGGTGATACTATTCCTGGGGCGAGTATTGAAATCATCATCAGGTCAACAGCTGGATGGCGTGATGAGATTTTACATTCAGCATCCACGGATCGTATGCTTCTGGTGTTCGCACAATATTCCCGTTGTGAGGGCCAAATTAGAAATAAAATTGAATAAGATGCGTTCTTGGCATGAAGCTAACTACCTTTCTTCGCTCTTATCTTCGAATTTCCTTATCTATCGTGCCCTAAGATTCGAATTAGATCTCCTATCCCGATGACGTTCGTAAGAAGCCTGCTTTTTTAATTGCTCCTTTCTTATTCTTGCTCCTTCATTCTCTGTGTGCTTATTTAAGTTCAGTAATGGCGATCGATGTGGATTTGAAAACCGAGTCCTCAAGTCTGAGATCATTTTCTACACAGACAGACAACGTATATATATTCAGCCTTTGGATATGAAATGGCGTGAACACAACTATCTAAGTAAGAAAAAAAAAGCAAACACCTTTCAGAGTAAGATCTCACTTGAAAATACAAGGAAATCTAGAATTAGAGCGTCAAATATAAAGTTCTCCGGCATCGACGTCCTGCGAGGAAGGGTTCTGTTGTCTGTGATACCATCAGAACAGGCAATGGAACCAGTATCTTTACCAAGCAGTCTCTTTGTCCTGAGAAATTATTCTCAGAGTACTTCAAAGCATTCTGTCTCTCATTCCCTTACTTTTTATGGAGCCAGAATCTGACGAATGTTGCCTTTTATAGTAGAGGGTCAATCTGGCAGGAGAATTCTCGTAGGAACCCTCTAATTTATCCTATATGACGTACCATGATCCTGTAAATAATGCTCACAAAAGCCACTCTGCAAGGAATCTTTTCCTACACCGAATAGCCCTCTCACCAGGAAAATGGCTTCATCCAATGGCTGTCATTAGGCTGGGAAACCGAGAATATCAAACAGCAATCTCCGGTGGTATCGACCTTGACGCCAACTTCCTGGCAGGAAGCATCTAATAGAACCAGAATTTCTCCAGAGAAAGACTTCGAGTACCTCCTGGGACCGTTTACACAGGATATAAGCTTGAAATCATCTACAAAACACTCGAATCTGTATGCAGACAGCCTATAGTATCATCTAGATCCACCGATATCAACCGTATCCTCCTCGCAGCTAGATAATCACGTAGGAAGATCATCTCTTTTCTTGATTCCAAGCGCATCCGGGGACTGCCGTCGCATTCACTGGGCTCGATCCTGATATCAACAACCCGACACGACAACAACACGTCCAGTCACCACCACGACCAGCCACTTCTGCCCACAACAACGCGTCAGTGAATGCCAAACAGAGCAAAACAGAGGCCAATGGCATTCACTCAGCACTCCAGGACTCGCCCAAAAGGGAAAATTAAGAGAGACTCGCTTAGGCTAGCGCCATCTCATCTCCAGGGTATAAATACCTCGTCCTCACCCTCCCTCTGCCTTTCTTTTCTTTCTTCCTTTCTTCCCTCCAAGCGCTCACTTTGCTCTGCAACCTGGGCCCAGTGTCCTGTCTCTCCGGTTCGCCGTTGTTAGACACGTTCACTGAACATTCTTTGGACCCAACACTTTTCTTTTTCTTTTCTCATCCTCCTGTCTGCTTCAGCGTCCTGAACTTTCTTCTCTTGTACTTTCTTTTCTCTTGTACTTTCTTCTCCCTCCTGTACTTGCCCTCCTGTACTTTCTCTTTCCTGTACTTTCTCCCTCCTGTACCCCCTTCGCCTCGCTCCTGTAGAGGTACACGGTACCGGCTGGGCCTCAAGCACGTCTTGTACTCCCCTCTCCTCCACCTGCCCCTGAGGTACACGGTATCGGCTGGGCCTCATTTCCCGTTTTCTTTTCTCTTTCTTTCTTGTTCTCGTTTTGCCTGAGGTACACGGTATCGGCTGGGCCTCAGACGGTCGGCTCACCTGTTTGGATCCCGCTAGTTACTTCGGTAGCTAGGTCCGGTCGAACACTTGCAGGCCAGTAGTCGCCATTTTTGGAACCTTTTACGCTGCTTCCTGTCTTCGGACTCGAACAGTATTTGTTTTTGTTTTTGTTTTTGTTTTTCTTTTTTTTACCTGCTCTTGGTACACGGTACCGGCTGGGCCTCGAGTAGGGGGTTGGGGGTGTGGGCTCTCTCAGCTCGAGTCATCGCGGGATCGATGCCTGCTAACCGACCAATTTTTGGAACCTCTTCTTCTTCTTTTCATACCAATTTGGTTGATCGACATAGCCGTCAATCACACCTTGGTTTACTGGTCGTTCGGGCCTCAAACTCGGACTCCATTGTCTTTCACTCTTTCTCTCCCTTTCTTGCTTTGAAAACCAAGTTCCACTACCCTGACAAGTGGTTCTTTTTTTTTCTCTGCTAGACAGGATTGATTGAGTAGGAACTTTTGAAACCTTTTCTCTTTCCACCGGGTTTTGTGCATGGCATAGCGGCCATCACTGACTTGGGATTTCACCTTTTTTTTTTCATCACTATCTCTCGCATGTTCGAGGGGCGTGGAGAAGAAAAAAAATAACCGAAATGATATGGGAAGCGTGGTAGCATCGTTCGCTCGCTCGTTCGTTCGTCTATCGCATCACAAGAAGGAAGATACGGTTCGATAGATTAAAAAAGGTATCAAGGTATCGAGATTCGAGACAACGACCATATAACCATACTCCCAACGCAACGGTCGCGTATATGAGGTATATATGTTCTGTACAAGGGTCATACTCGTGAGTGTAAACAAAGCCATTCATCCATTCATCCATCCATCGAAACAAGTCTTTCATGATGATCATCTTCTCTCTCCCAGGTTCTTATCCATTATCACCACTCTCTGTGTGTACGTACATGTGAGCGTGTCTATTTCATTCATCTTTCTTATCCTGCCTGCGAGCAGGTTGTTTTCGTTGTCGTCGCCCACTACCAATCCCAGACGATCGAACAACGAGACCCAACTTCCAGAGAACCCAGACGAACCCTAGCACGATGACAACCACCGTACCTAGCTCGATCTGTCGCACTCGACTACCACTGGCTCCTTCCTCAAGAGACGTCTGAAGCACGGGGACTTGAATGTCTTCAACTAACCGCGACTGGGGGGACACAGCAGCAGGAGCAGCAGGAGCCTCGCTGGATGATGCTGCTGCCGCGGATGGATGAAGCTGGAAGAACATGGTGCGAGGACCAAAAAGCCCATCCCAGCCCAGGTTCACCCGGTCGAATGGATTGACGCCCATCTTTGTGCCGTCTTCGGCGGTGCAGGCCCAGAACACGACCGGCCACGGTACGGATGTGGAGCGATACCCGGTCTCGGAGGGTTCCAGGTAGCGCAGATGCAGGGGGATGGTGACGTTCCAGTCTTCTCCGCCCGCAGCACTCTCTGGAGTCGCCAGTTCGAGAAGCAGGTTCGAGCCCCAGCGTGGGACGACCCAGTCAGGGGCTTCGAGATCTGTCTCCCCAGAAACGCTCCGAAGAGCGACGAGATGGTGCGAGTTGAGGAATAATGAGTCAGTGGTCGAGAGCTGGTACTTGTCGGCGAAGACGGTTGAAGGGAGAGTCAGGTAGGTATGGAGAGCACATGTGGCATCTGGAGGAGCAGGCGGGCGAGTCAGAAGAGCCCGCCGGGGCATTGAGATTTTCAGCGTAGGATGCAATCCTGTTGGGGACTCAAATGATGCCGTATATGAGGCATCCTCTGGAAGGGGGTGGTGTCGAGACGGAAAAGAGAATAGAGTAGGTTCTTTGGCAAAGAAAGAGTAGTCAGAAAAAGATCCCATTGCACGAAAGAAAAAAAAACTTGTCAGCAGGAGTCAACTTACTGAGCTTCTTGTCCTCCCCTATCACAGTCAGAAAGCCCCCCATCGAAAGCTCCTCCGGTTCTACGGCCTTCTGGGCAGCCAGCAGTCCCACTTCGACCTTCTCATTTGTCCCTTTGTTGTGCTTTCTGATGTCTTCTGTCCATCCATCCTGGCCCTCAGGCGGCTTGGACCAGAACCCGGAGAAGGTAAGCGAATGGGAGATGCTGTCGTAGTCGATGTCGACTGAATCGGCAGAGAGGAGAGACGAGGCATGGCTCTGGCAATCTGTGTCGTTGGGGTTGCAGATCACCTGCTGGATATAGGTGACCAAGTCGGCCAAGGAGGGAAGAAGACTGTGGAACTGAAGAGCCGATGTCGAGGCGAATCGTTGGGAGAGAATCGGAGAAGTCGTGAATGAAATCTGACGAAAGCTCAAGTCAGCTCGAAAAAAAAAGGGCCTTGTAATAAGAAATCATTCGCTTTCGACTCGCGGAATATTACCTCTGGTAACAAGCATTTGAGATCTTCGTCAAAGATCTTCTTAAGCAACGGACACAGACGCTCTCTGCCAATGCCAACTATTGTAAGCGGTAGCCGGGAAAAAAATAATAAACATGAGTATTTCATTCATTCACACGTACGTCGTTCGTTTCGCTGCTACCGGAGTATAGAAGACATGCAGACCGGGAGATACTCGGCTGGAGAACGGCGCGAGAGCATCGTACGGCCGCTCAGTCGCCCATCGGACATGGAGTTCATGACAATTCTTGAGAACTTGCCAAAGCTTTTACCTAACTAATCAGCAATTGAACAAACAAAAAAAATTATGAGAGAACCCAGATTGGGTACGTAATTACTTACCTCGCTAGGGAACTCATCGAATCCGAATGTGAGCCGTTCTTCCTTCGCGGCATTCAACCCTCTTATCGACAAGGCATCATTGCTGACTCGGGCCTGCTGATCCGGATCAAAGGGCGACTCTGCCCCGTAGATGTAAGTGATTCGTCTTCTCATCTTTGTGCGAGTCGTGTCAGATTGCTCTCCCGGAAAGTCCACTGCTTTTGGAGCTCCGAAGCTTGGAGTCCGGGGAACTCTGGCGATCGCCGAAATAGGCTTGGCTTACGTTGCGGCAGTCTGCGACTCTACCTGCGAACTTGGATAGATTCCATGTGATGCTACGGGTTAATACTCAGGCTTCTCGTCAATATCGCCTTGAGAACTATGTAAAATATGTTCTTCAGATAGAATGTATGTTCCTGATATAGGCACTCAGGAATTATAAATCATATTGAAATCCAATTTTATTACTACATCACTACAATAAATATTAGTCGAAGAAATTTCGATATTAACTTTTGATTCACCGCTTAAACACATCGAAACGTAAGTCTAGAAACATTACGGAAAAATAAATACCACCCGTAAGAAAAGAAGAAGAGAAATAACAAAAACCGAATTCTCAAAACAGAAAACTCCGAAGAAATCCCATCCCGAACGCCGATTCATGCAAACAGAAATGGATCATCAAGGACGTCACTGTATATCACTGTGGTCATGGCAAGATCTCCTTCAACAATTCCTTCTGGGAAGAATTCAAGCTCGTAGGGAACTTCACGTTGACCTTTACTATAAGGTCTCCTCGTTCCGAGGGCTTCTTCGAGATGACCATGCCCAAGCCCGGATAGCGCTCCTCATGGCCAGGCTGAGTAGGTCCTGGCTTGGATATGCGGATGGACTTGCCGTCGATGGTCTTGACAATGCGATCCCAGCCAGTGAGCGCTTCTTTGAGACTGAGTTCCACTGTCGTGATGAGATTGTCGCCACTGCGCTTGAAAGTCGGATGTTCTTTCTGTTGAAATAGTTAGCTTGATGTTCTTTCTGAGACCTTTGAGCTTGGATCTGTACTTACCTCTGTAACAATCAAGTGTACATCCTGTCTGCCACCCTCTTCTTGATCACCGACGCCCTTGTACTTGATCTTGGAGCCAGCTCTCAAACCAGGCTTGATGTTGGCTTCGAGGGTCACTTCCTGTACGCTGCGCTTGCCGCTTGGATCGAATGTCTTGCTCTTAGTAACCACTTTCTTCGTCGTTCCATAGAAGATCTCTTCGAGCGTAAGAGGCAATTCCTTTTCCACAACAGTAGGCTCTGGCGTTGGAGCACGGCGCTGGTTGAAGCCGCCCCCAGAAGACGACGTCTTGAAGGAGGTTCGTGCACCACCACCGCCGAGTCCACCTCCCAACATCGAGAAAATGTCGTCGTCGTCTAACCCCATGCCACCAGCGGACTTGACGAAGTTTCTGAAGATATCATCCGCGCTGCTGAAGCGGAAGCCACCACCTCCCGGTCCAGTGGTGAAGTGGAACGTGCGAGTGCCTCCACCAGGCATCCCTCCAAATGCGAACCCACCAGGCATGCCACCTTCGAAGGATGGGCCGCCGGCACCGCCAGATGGCGGAGGGCCGCCTCGCATGAGATAGTCGAGACCGAATTGATCATAGATTTTGCGTTTTTCGGGATCCGAAAGGACTTCGTAAGCCTGAGAAACCTCTGCATGTCGTTAGCACTGTGCTTTCATTTCAGGTAAATCATCTTCAGGAGTGGACATACCTTTGAACTTCTCTGCAGCTTTGGGGTTATCCTTGTTCTTGTCAGGATGCCATCTCAAAGCGGCTTTTTTGTAAGCCCTCTTGATGTCATCTTGGGAGGCATCAGGCTTGATGCCCAAGGAGTCGTAGAGCTTTGTTTCTGCAACCATATTGCTGGACTAAACTGTGTGAGAATGAAGGTCCTGGATGTGTATACCAGAGAGAGGATGAATTGGAAAAGAAGTATGGAATCCAATCACAAAAGGACAGCGCCGACTTAAGAGCGTCACTGCCAGTGAGGCTCGTGACAGTTAGGCCCGAAGCGTCACTTATCTCGAATGACGTAGAAGATTCCCGGTCTGTGATTGGCAGGGAACAAGATGAACAGTAAAGAACAAGACAAAAGAGGCTAAGGAAAGACTTCTTGCGACGGAGGGTGGGTATGTGCAGTTCTTGAATGCGGGTGGATATGACTGCCGCGTCCGGTGGTGGTGACGTGAGAGGCCAGTTGAGGAGGCTGTGACCGTGACATCTGTAGAAGCTTCTAGAAGGTTCTATGGCTGGGGGGCCTCAAAACGATGGGAGCCTATGTGACAAGATGAAATTGATCGCTACATTAGTTTGCATATGCATGGGAGAAGTTACAGGAAGTTCTTTAGAAACCGTGTCGGGATACGCCTGTCGTCTTGTTTGACAGCGATGGGTTGTGGTTTCTCCATGTGCAGGTCGATGGCGGGGTGACGTATTGGATCATTGGTGACGCTTTGACCAGTCTGGATATCTTCCCCGCTCAGCCGGCTTCACTGTTACTAATTATGGACATCGTAAAAAATTATGGAGCCGATCCAAGATCATGGAGTGATAATGTATTTGCCTAAGGCGCATTATGAAAGTGTGGTTATCAGCATAAAACAGCTTTCACAGTACATGGTCCCAATCTGAGAGACGCTATTGAAGCATATCGCAAGAAGCTACATCGGTAGCCTATTATCATCCATATGTTTTGCCTGAAGTGGTAATGGAAGGAATTTTCTTTTCATTTTCAAAAAAAATCTTTCGAATTGAAGTGATCGCTCTCTTTCCATATGGTAGATTCTATCTAGGTACCTAGTAAGAGCTAATCAGGTTATTCATGCACAGCCACGCTAATACGGTACACTCCAGCATGATAAAGACTCAATCAGTGTTAAGGTCAGATGAAGGTTGAATGTGAGGCAATTCCATTGATCCAGTGTCGCTGTTCAAGTATTCCAGTAGTCCAGTAGAGTTGGCCAAGGTCAAGGCATGTGTAAAGGACGAATGAGTAATCGATTGTTTCTCCGTAGAAACTACTTCTCAACTTCCTTTGTAGAGAAATGATAGGAAATAACTTCCAGCGACACGTAACTGCTGACTTTATGGATTAGGAATAAAACTCTTGCTATCTGGAACAAGTAGACGGTTATGGCAACAACCAAAGTTACGCCAACAATCCTGGATATAAGGGTTATCGACCTGCTACAGGGTTGAACGCCATGATTCCGTGTCAAGGGCTTCTCTACAGCGACAACATCCGAGCTTCATCACCACTGTTATCAGCATAAACGACAGCAACGTCCACTGCAGTGGCCTCCGCAGCACGCACTCCCATGCCAGCTCTACTAACCGAATACGGAGTGTGTTCCACCGGATTTATCTTTGAAGAGCACAGTAGCTCTTCATATTCTTCCTAACCACAAACAAAAAATTTCACCGAATCTGTAATAAAGCATTATCGTATTGTATTGGAAGAATGGGTTATGTAAAGTATAGACGTACAGTACCTAATGTAAACGGAGTGATACCCCCACCCTTGGATTTGATGTCCTCAATGAGACGAGATTTGGCGCAGTGTAGAAAAGTCATATAACCAACAGGTCACGGTAATCCCTAAGAACAGCGGAGACCGGTGTTTTTCATACGATTCTTGCGTTCATTACTCCGTATCGTATATCGTTGGATAGATCTAGGTGACCGTACACCGCGGGCGGGTAGACTCGGCGCCTCGGTTATCGCACTCCGGCGAGGCATAGAAGCTCCCCGCGCCAATTCAACGCCGAGGATCGGCCCGCCTAAGGATATACGAACGACCTGCTGCAACAATCGCGCTTCTGCACCGGGTCCTGATACAAACACTCCTGTCGTTGTATGTGGGCATTGGTGTGTTTTTGGGACCCTATTTCATAACAATGGCAAGCGGCTTGCGGATTCTGGTGCCCGTCAAGAGGGTGATTGACTATGCGGTGAGTCCGATTCCACCTGGATCCTCACGACACCTGACTTGCGTTTTCCTCCCGGGATAACCTGTTTGCTACGGTCAATGACTTGACGAGGCTGGAAATACCGGAGTGATGGTTACTATACAGCTTTGCTACTTCCCATTTCCCTCCTGCTACGATCCTTGCTTCAACTTTGAGTCGCGTTCCTAGACGCTTTTTCGGCATGTGACTGGGCACTAAGAGCTGACACACCCTCCTGCGTTGATCATATTCTACAGATAAAACCCCGGATCAACAAGACCCAGACAGGCGTCGAGACTGCCGGAGTCAAACATTCCCTCAACCCATTCGACGAGCTCTCTGTCGAGGAGGCTGTCCGCCTCCGGGAGCGCAAGGGACCGCTCAAGGTGGACGATATCCTAGCGCTTTCTGCCGGCGGTCCCAAATGCGCTGACACCCTCCGTACCGCCATGGCCATGGGCGCCGACCGGGCGCTGCATGTGGAGGTCCCCGAGTCTGGCGACGGTGGGCCAGAGCCATTGACGATCGCGAAGTTGCTCAAGGGTGTCGTGGAGAAGGAGAACATCAACATGGTCTTGCTCGGGAAGCAGGCTATTGACGGCGACCAAGGCCAGACGGGCCAGATGCTTGCGGGTCTGTTGGGCTGGTCGCAGGCGACGCAGGCGAGCAAAGTCGATGTCAAGGATGAGAGCGGCACGGTGGAGGTGACTCGCGAAGTGGATGGTGGTGTCGAGACGCTCAGGGCGAAGCTGCCTATTGTCATCACGACGGATCTGCGACTCAACGAGCCGCGCTATGCCAGTCTGCCCAATATCATGAAGGCGAAGAAGAAGCCGCTGGAGAAGAAGACGCTGGCGGACTTTGGTGTGGAGGACAAGAGACGGCTCAAGACGTTGAAGGTTACTGGTATGTGGTGTCTTTCTGGCCCTACCATACTTGTTGGGCCCATTCCTCTTCCATCGCTCTTAACATTGAACGCACGAAGTCACTAACGCCGTATTTGAACAGAACCGCCGCCACGACAAGGCGGAGGCAAGGTCGAGGATGTCGACGGCATGATCTCGAAGCTGAAGGAACTTGGCGCTCTATGATTCGTCTTAGCTTCTTGTATTAATCCGTCAATCTCTCAACAGCGCACGAGGGCGTGAAAAGAGACGAGAAGCCTGCAGTCTTTGCTTATGTGGACAATTCTTCTATAATGTACGAAAACACATGTTTCTATATTTTCGATGATAAATGGACTCTGGATGTTCTAGACAATGGTGTCGTTCATGGATGCCGACAAATTTTGTTCGACCCGTCTGACTGCTTTTGAGATTATCCCGGGGAGGATAGGAAGACCTCCAGTAGATCACGGTCCACTTTGTTAATCCACTCGAGAAGATCCCGCTTGTATACGCTGAACTATTTCCGTCAAGTGTACTGAACTAGGATATCTCGACACTTTTCAACCCCACTGGGCAACATTCGATTAGAGATTTTTTGAGACCTGAGTCATCGACTTCATTAAGCGACAACAGTTATTGCCTGTCAGAATATAATTGAAAAGAAATTTGTATGGAGATGAGGCGCTACGGACTGGAGAAAGCAAATCCTTAGGCACTGAACTAGCCATGCTAGTCGCCATGCTCCTTCCCTAGTGTATGCAAGTCAATGTCCTCCCGCATCGATCAGTGCCCACATCTTTTCCTTTTCTGTTGCCTTTTCTTTCTTTCTTTCTTTCTTTCTTCCAAACAGCGACTTCTGGTCGAATGTATTGTCGAAAGACGTTCTGATCGACCCTGAAAGTGTCACTCTCCACAAAGACTCTGACTAATTAGGGCAGCGGAGGGGCAGACTGCAGAGAGCTTCCAGCTTTCTATTGTATACCAGACTTCTGACCGTATACCTCGTAGTATGAGAGGAGATGCGCGCTAACAACCTAATACTGCTCCTCCTCCGTCTGGAGAGACTTCGCGCTCTGGTTGTTGATGGCTAAACTTTACCAGGATTACCAGGATGAGGTGTCACAAATTCTGATTTAGTCCATAGCTAGCCTGGTTAGAATGTGAGAAAGGAAACACTGTCGATCGTAGACGCATCCTGAAATTATAATGAATCCCAAACCGTCTCCTACCAGCCCGTGGAGTTGGTCGAGGATTGGTGGGACAAAGTATATGAGAATAAGCATTCAGGATCTTAATGTGGATACAGCATCCGGTCTGGAAGGATCGGGTGGAAAGCCAGGTCGTTCGTCATCAGCCGAGCCATGGATCTGTGAACTGTCATCCGCCGTCGATCGGATCGTCGGCTTCGCCCCGTCGACTGATGGCGTATCGAGGCCCGTCCTACGTCAGCCACTCCGCAGGCGATGACATCGTCGTCCGTCCAGCATCTGACTGACTCAACAAGCCCAGACTCGTCCCTTTGTCAGCCTGCGGCGCCACGCGGAGTCTCCTGCGGCTGCTGCTCAGCCCTTCCGGCCAAGCCGTGCAGAAGTCTTTTAATAATATCGTGCCCTTCAGGGCGCAGCTAATAAAACCCTGCCCCAGATGGCTGAACCGCTGCTGTTCTCTGGCTATGGCCTGCTGTCCCTGGATCAGCTCCAGTCCATAACCACAGCTCGACCCAATTCAATTCCTACAGGGATTACTCTCATTCCCCTTCCATGTTTGTGCTTACTCGCATCTGGTCGTTTACCTGACTGGGGCTGTACTCTCCAAGGTCCAGCGACAGACCTCCCGGGGCTGCCCTACTGTCTGAGGTGTCCATGACTTTGTTCTCTACGGGTAAGCCTTCCTTATCCAGAGTCGCTGTGAAGACAACGCATTCCATATCCATAGCCCATGCGACGTCTGGGGATCGAGAACTGATGCGGGGTCCGCATTCCTCAGGTTGCATTCCCAGACACCGGTTCGGGAAACCCTACGTACGCGTGGTCGCTGCTTCCGTCACAAGCCGAATATTTGATTTTTTTTTTCTCTCCCCAATCTCTCACCAGCAAGCAGCTGGCTTCTCCTACGGGTACGTCCGAAGTTTGGGACGACATCTTGTTCTCGTCATTCATCTTCACAAGTCCATTCCATTCACTCTTGATTGGGGGTTTCTCCCGTCATCATGTCTCGGAATTCTTGGAAGGATTACTCCAAAAAGGGACTGGGATTGGGAAAGAAAGGATTCGACAAAGCATGGCAGGCCCTTGATAAGCTGGGAGCGCCCGTCAACCGCCTGTCGAATCGTGTCGGGGCGGAGGCCTTCTGGCCGATGACTTTGGATAAGGAAAGCGACAAAGCTGCACGGATCCTCCGCAGCTTCTGCAAGGATGGCTTCTACGACAAGATCGATGCTGAGGCGGCAGCTGCGAAAGAAAATGACGTTCCTAACGGCAAGAAAAAAATCGACCGCCCCGTGGGCAAGCAGAGAGTCCTCAAGAAGATTCCCGCTGAAGTGATCAAGCAGGCTAAGGGGCTCGCTATCTTCACAACCATGCGAACAGGTCTCTGGGTCAGCGGAGCGGGCGGCAGTGGTATCTTGGTCGCGCGAATTCCTGAAACCGGTGAATGGAGCCCACCATCGGGCATCCTCCTCCATACTGCGGGTGTAGGGTTCTTGGTTGGTGTTGATATTTATGACTGCGTCGTCGTAATCAACACCTATGAGGCCTTGGAGGGCTTCAAGAAGCTCCGTTGCACCCTTGGCGGAGAACTCAGCGTTGCGGCTGGCCCGGTCGGTATGGGTGGAATCCTCGACTCCGAAGTACACATGCGACAGGCGCCGATCTGGACATATCTGAAAAGCCGTGGGGTCTATGCCGGTGTGCAGGTGGACGGCACAATTATCATCGAACGATGGGATGAGAATGAGCGGTTTTACGGACAGAAAATATCAGCACAGGACATTCTGGCTGGCAAGGTCAGGAATCCTCCTTCATCGATTCGAACCCTCATGCAGACCATCAAGGCTGCACAGGGCGAC